CCTCCCAAGTAGCTGGGACCACAGGTGCCCGCCACAACACCCGGCTATTATTTTTTTGCAGTTTGGCAGGAGCTGGGCTTGAACCCACTACTCTGGGTATATGGGACTGGCACCCCACTCACTGAGCCACAGGTGCCGACCTCGGCTTTTTATTTTTTTGAGACATAGCCTCAAGCTGTCATCCTGAGTAGAGTATTGTCTATCACAGCTCACAGCAACCTCCAACTCGTGTTTAAGCGATTTTCTTGCCTCAGCCTCCCAAGTAACTGGGACTACAGGCGCTCCCCACAATGCCTGGCTATTTTTTTTAGTTGCAGCCATCATTGTTGTTTGGCAAGCCGGGCTAGATTTGAACCCACCAGCTCTGGTGTATGTGGCTGGTGCTTTAGCTGCTTGAGTTATGGGCGCCAAGCCTCAGTGGGTTTTTTAGTACATTAGCAAAGTTTTGCAACCATCACTATTATCTAATTCCAGAATATTTCCATCATCCCCCCCCCCACTCATTAGCAATTCCTTTCCCATTTCTTCCTGACCCACTCCCAAGCTCTTGGCATCCACTAACATTTTTTCTGTCTCTATGAATTCCAGACATTTCATAGAAGTATAACCATACAATAAGTGTCCTTGTGTGTCTGGCTTCTTTCATTTAGTGTAATGTGTTCAAGCTTCATCCATGTTGCCCTACGTTTTTACGGCTGAATAATGGCCCATTACGTGGATATACCAATTTTTATTTATTCATTCACATTAATTGGTAGGTATTTTAGTTCCACTTTTTAACTATGATAACGTTTCTGTGAATATACACATAAGTTTTTGTGTGGACATGTTTTCGGTTGTCTTGGGTAGTGTTGCTTGGTTATGTGGTAACTCTATATTGAACTTGTTGAGGAATTGCCAGATTGTAGCACTGGCATTCTCCCCATCAATGTATTAAAGTCCAATTTCCGGCGGCGCCTGTAGCTCAGTGAGTAGGGCGCTGGCCCCATATACCGAGAGTGGC